CCCAATAGTTATCTCTTCCCTGTGTCCTTCCCTCCATGCACTCCTGCCCCCTGAGCTGTCTCCCTGTGCTTACACAGCCCTTCTGTTCTCCCATGATTGTTCTCTCCACAGGGTGTATCTACCTGGCATAAATGTTCAGCTCATATGCCTGTCTTTTGTTTGGCTGGAAGCCCAAGTAGTGGGTTCAGTTCCAGACCTGAAGGGCAGCTAGGGGCCATAGTCTCAGGGGTTCCATCAGGCTCTATCAGAGCAGCAAACCTGGTCCCTTTTTTTTTTTTTAATGATTTTGAGTTTTGTTCCACATTGTTCTCCCACTCTGTCCAGGATCTCCTACATAGATCCCCCTCCAAGTGGTTGACAGTGGTAAGTGGGCACCATCTAGTTCTGGTCTCATAGTTGTATAGGCTGAGGATTGCATGGTATATGTATACAGTGTTATATACAAATTCTGAAGTATTCACTGACCCTTAAACCTAAAGAAAAAAGTTAGGGAGTTGAAAAGTAAGATTTGAGTGTCAGTTCTTAAACTTTTTCCACAAGACACATCTCCTGAAATGAATTATACTAACATAAAAATCTTGTTCTAGTACACAGGGTGTTTTATTCAGTCTCTGAAGTGTTAGTTTTCTCAAGTTTGTTGAAAAAACATACTGTGAGTAAGCTAAAGTCCATAGATGAAATACTCTGATGATTTCTCACCTTTGTTACTTCAGTTTAATTTCTTCTACCATCAAAGCATTTTCCTAGAAATACTAATAAGGCCAAAGAGTCATATGCATATTATGCAGAGTGAAATAAGTCAGTCACAAAAAGATAAATATTCTATGTTCCCACTATTATAAAAAACCAAATGTAGACATACACACAGAGAGCACAATTCTTTGATGGTTACCAGGGATAAGAGGAAGTGGGAGGGGGAATCACTTCCTTGATAGTAGAGACTTGTTAGTTGTTGTCCCCTCCCCCCCACAGTGTAACAGTTCTCTTCCCACTTCCTCCCTGTAGTTACCTCTTCCTTGTGTCCTTCTTTCCTATGCATTCCTGCCCCCTGAGCTATCTCCCTTCTATTCCACTGCCCTTCTGTTGTCCCGAGATTGATCTGATAGATCTAAGGAATGTATCTACCTGAGGTAAATGTTCACCCTGTATGCCTGTCTGTTGTTTGGCTGGAAGCCACAGGAGTGAGTTCAATACCGTACTTGAAGGCTAACTAGGGACCATAGTCTCGAGGGTCTTACCAGGCTCTATCAGACCAGCAAACCTGGTCTTTTTTACTGAGGCTGCATGATAATGAGACCTGAGATGGTTTGAAGAGGCTGACAACCATAGGACATTTCCCCAGAATTATGGGCATCCTCAAACCTGTTCTGTAGGTAGGAAAACTGAGAGGTTCAGAAATTAGGGCTAAAAAATTTTGTTTGCACATTTAATATTTTTATTTCCTTTTGTATAAGTTCTTGTTTGGGAGTAAGAAAATCTCTGAAATAACAATAGAGAGTGTAGAAAAAAGTAGAGGGGCCAACCCAAATGTGCCCCAATAGTTGGGCCCCCTTTAGTGAGGAGAGGCAGCCATGCTCAGGCCCTACCTGTGTGGCCCCATGAGTCTAGTCCTCAGCCTGGTGCTCTCAGGCTTATTTCCCCCCAGGAATGTAGAGTCCCTCCTGCCTTCAGGCAAACACTTCTTAGTTTTAATGATGGGAAAGATAAGACCACATATGGATGAAGTCAACACAACATGACCAAGGTAAATAAAGACACTAAGAAGAACACAAGAAAAGGGACAAGTGTGGTAAAAGCTATAGCATAAAGAGTTTTGCAACAATAGTAAATATAACCAAAAAACATAAGTGTAGTAACGTGGGTAAATGTGGGTGTATATATCTGTATAGAAGGGCATACAAAAATAAATGCACATGCATGTATAGGTGTATCTACAGGAAGATATTTATACATGTTTGTGTGTGTTGCATATACATCTACATATATAACAAACCATATGGGGGAGCACTCATAAAGACTTCATAGACCTATTCAGACAACTTGTGGCATTGGTTTACTGGCTCAAGGGCCTTAGTACCATAGTCTCAGGGGACAGCTTAGTCAATTGACATAACATATTTCACAAAGGTAATGTTCTACATCCAGGTTTGGTAAGTAGCATCTTGAGTCTTAAATGCTTGTGAGCAGCCATTTAAGATACAGTTAGTTGTTGGTCTCTACTTATACAGGGCCAGAAACAATGATGGAAATCAAAGGATCAAAGGAGAAACCAATCTACAGGACTAATAGCCCACATGAAATACAAACCTGAGACCACAAGAACTAGATGGTGCCTAGCTACCAATACTGACCATTCTGACCATGGACATGATAAAAGGCCCTGGATTAAATGGAAGAATAATGTAGAACAAAACTCAAATTCCTTAAAAAGGCCAGACCTACTAGACCAAAAGAGATTAGAGAAACCCCTGAGACTATCACCCTAAGATAACCTTTGAATGGGGAATTGAAGTTATCTCTGAGAGTCACCCTTCAACCAAAGAATAGATAGACTTACAAAATAAATGGTATCATCCATGAGGAATGTGCTCCCTCAAAGAGTGAACTATATGAGACCAAATGGTCAACATTTACCCAAAAACAAAGGTGAGAAGGCAAGGGGAAGGGAGGCTAGATCAATGGAAACAAAACAAACAGAATGGAAATAATGACAGTCCTGACACATTGTAAAAATTATAACCAGTGACACAGAACAATGATAAAAATTGTTAAAGGGGACCCTAATTTGCTGTGTAAACTTTCACATAAAACATTTTTTTAAAAAAATTATATGCAATTCTTTTCTAATTCTTAACTATAGGTTTCCATTTCTCCTTTAGCCAATATCTCTTCATAACCAACATTTATGTAGTACTTCTTTTCTCTTTATACTTTCTATTGTGAATGTTCAGGCATTGTTTTAGGCAAGGTATATTTTTTATTACATTAATTCTCACAACAACCATATTGTTGTTGTTGTTGTTGTTGTTATATGCCATTGAGTCGGACCCGACTCATAGCGACCCCTCCTTGGGTTTCCGAGGCAGTATCACTATGGAAGTAGATTGCCCCATCTTCCTTCCGAGGAGTGGCTGGTGGGTTTGAACCGCCAGCCTTCTGGTTAGCAGTCAAGTGCCTTAGCCACTATGCTACCAGAGCTCCCTAAATTAGGTTGTTATTAGTGTCCCCATTTTATATATGAAGAAAGCAAGGGTAAGAAAGGTTAAATACTTGATCAAAACTAATTTAGCTATTAATAGGCAGAGCCAGGACTTGAACCCAGGTATATCTCACTCCAGAGCCCATTTTCTTTCCATTTTAGCATCCTGCTGTACAATCCAAGGGTTGACCATGATCATTAGTTTGACCTGATCTGAATTTAAAAAGTCCAAATTTCCATCAGAAGAAGGGCTGTATTTTTTTTAAATTCTACAGCTAGCCTATTGTAACTACTAAATATTTTTGTGTATATGTTAGACTTTAAAAACGCACTGCCGTCAAGTCATAGTGACCCCTCCTTGGGTTTCCGAGGTGTATCACTACGGAAGTAGATTGCCCAACCTTCCTTCTGGGGTGTGGGTGGTGGGTTTGAACTACCAGCCTTCTAGTTAGCAGTCAAGTGCCTTAGGCACTACACCACCAGAGCTGTCTGTGTTAGACTTTAGGTTGTAAAATGTCAAGAGTGCTGAATTTACTGTCTTGTTTGTTAAGCTCAAAATAGGGAAGGAGGCTAGCTAAGATCGCCTGTCTGTTCTTTTTATATAAGTGAATGTTTCAGATACCAGATTCTTGACAGAGACAATTCCAGTGACTGAAAGTTTGTGGAAGCCTTGTTACTAAATTTAGCATCATTTTCAGGAAGGAATAACCCTAATGGTTTGGAACAGGAGTGAGAAAGAGTTTAAAGGGCAGATAAGCTTTAAGTATCAAATTGATTAGAGGCCAGGTATGTATTTCCTAATTCTTTGGGGACAGCCCTGGGAGAGAGCCTCCAGGCCAGCTGCCCAGTGGTTTTGCTGAGACAGCAGGCTGGGTCAGCAATCTGGGAAGGTAGTTGGGTTTGCTGAGTGAGTTTTGTGAGACTCAGCATTTTTCGTGAGAAAATTATTGTTCTCCCAAACCTGTGCTTTTCCTAGTTTCAACCTCTTTATACAGTGAAACAAGAAGTAGAATTAGTAGGTTGATTACTATATTGCTGTAGGCCTATATTTTCTAGTTTGAGCTAATTACACATACCTTTGAGATACCACAGACCAGAGAAAAAGTAGATAGACTCCTAAGTGATTAAGTAGTGGGGAGAACAAAGGAAGTTGGGTCAGTTAATGAGATTTCAGAGAGGTAATCTTACCTTTTTGAAAATAAATGCCATTTAACTTTCAAGGCAGTGAAAGTTAGTATAAAGGAAAATTACGTTGACTAATTTTGGAATATGAGGAGAAATTGGATGTAAATGTAAAGAAATTACCTTGAATCATACTATTTGAGTCTTTATCTACACATTAAGGGATGTAGTTTGTGAAAAGTTTTTTTTTTTTTTTAAACAATTCCAATGAGGTTAAAAAAGGAAAAAGAATACAGTTCAAATGGCAGGATTGTCAAAAACCGCTTTGTATTGTATATATATGCTTACCTAGGATGAGGAAATGGTACTGTTTAGCTTAAAAAGCTTTATTTCCTCCTCAGCTTCACCCTGTTTCCCATGTGCTTTCCTGAACTGTGTGTGGGATTCTAGTCTAGAGGAAGGGTAGGTCCTCTCACCTGTTTCCATTCTCCCCGCCATAAATTCACAGTTTTTCACATTAGGATCTGTGAAAACAGAAACCACTTTTCTGGAACCAAATTAATCTTTTGATAATATGGTTCATGTTGAGTGACACTGGAGTGGGGGCAGGAGGGTGGAGATAAAAGGTATTTGGACCCTTCTGGTTTATGGGATTGTCTTTTTCCCTTTTTCCCCTTAGGAACGGCGTGAATGTTGAGGGGGCGACACACAAGCAGGTGGTGGACCTGATCCGAGCAGGCGAGAAGGAATTGATCTTGACAGTGTTATCTGTGCCTCCTCATGAGGCGGATAACCTAGACCCCAGTGACGACTCGTTGGGACAATCATTTTATGATTACACAGAAAAGCAAGCAGTGCCCATATCGGTCCCCACATACAAACATGTGGAGCAGAATGGTGAGAAGTTTGTGGTGAGTGTCAGCCCAACTCAATCTTCAAACATCTAGTTTTGTTTCCCCCCATCTTATCGTTTATGATATATGTGAGACCCATAGAATAAGAGACTACAACTTAGGTCAGTTTGTTTCTCAGGAAGATGAGCTGATCTTGACACTGATACTGATTTACTGTAGGGGGTGAACTAAAGTAATGAAGAAGAGTCTTACTTTTGCTTAAGTATATTTCCAGAACAGTTTTAAGTTTGCATTTTGGTCTGTTTTTGTTTATTTTAGTTTCTTTTGGTGGTGGTAGTTGTCTTACCTCCTTGCTAGTAGCTGTCTCTCACTCACTGTTGACTCTGGAGCTATAGAGCAAGATTAATTAAAGAAGGTAATGTCTTCCAAAACATTGGGCAGTACAGAGCTTCATCCATTTCAGAACCTACATTGCCCTACATTCCTCACCACATAATGTTCTTTTTCTCTTTGTTTAGAGACATCTGTGTGAATGATTAAATGAGCTTTGATGACATAGTGGTTAAAGCATTTGGCTGCTAACCAAAAGGTCAGCAGTTTGAATCCATCAACCTCTCTAGGCGAGGAAGATGAGGCAGTCTGCTTCCCTGAAAATTTATGGCCTTGGAAACCCTATAAGGAAGTTCTGCTCTGTCCTAAAAGGGTCACGATGACTCAGAAATGGCTTGTATAAGTCAGAATTGACTCAGGGGCAGTGGGTTGGGTTTGGTGTGAATGATTAACTCTTATTTTTCCTCAAGGTTCTAATTATGCTCTGAATGCCATTCACTTGAGCTGTTTTACACATTTCCAATCTGTTGCTGTTGTAGATAACACAAGAAAGCTCATCTTAAAATCTGGGTTATAGGTGCCAGCTCCTTTCCTGCATGCCTTTGTTCTTAAAAACCTAATTACCCCTGATAGCCCAATCTATTTGAATTTTCTCTTGTTTACAATATGCTTTATTTGCCTTTGATTATTTTAGGAGTGTGATGTAATGAGAAATGTTCATTACTCCTTGTAGAAAATGGCAGTGGGTTCTATTAGATATTGTCAGATGGAGTCCATTGTTTAAAGGTGACCTGTGAAGTAAAATTGTAGTCTCTGAAACTGGAATTTGTCCCTTGGATAGGAAGGAACCACTAGACATTGTGTGGTAAATCTTTTTTAATGGGGAAATGAGAAAAGCAAGAAAGCTAGAAAAGCTGCGGAAGGATCGAATAGTGTTTGACTGCATCTGTAATTGTTGTTGTTTGATGCTGATTCCTACCATAGAGGCTGTATGTACAATGACCGGTCCCGTGCCATCCTCACAATTGTTGGTCTGTTTAAGCCCATTGTTGCAACCACTGTATCAGTCCATCTTGTTGAGATTCTTCCTCTCTTTCAGGGACCCTCTACTCTACCAAGCCTATGTCCTTCTGCATGGTACCCCCGATAACATGTCCAAAGTATGTGCAACAAAGTCTCCCCATCCTCATTTCTAAGGAGCATTCTGGTTGTTTTTCTTTCAAGATAGGTTTGTTCTTCTAGCAGTCCATGGCATATTTAGTAGTCTTTGCCAGCACCATAATTGAAAGGTATAAATTGTTAGTCTTCCTTATTCATTGTCTAGCTCTCGCATGCGTATAAGGAGATTGAAAATACTGTAACTTGCGTCAGGCACATTTTAGTCATCAAAGTGACATCTTTGCTTTTGAACACTTTAAAGAGGTCTTTTGCAAAAAGATTTGCCCAGTGCGTATGTCATTTGATTTCTTGATAGATGCTCCCATGGGTGTTGATTGTGGATCCAAGTAAAAGGAAATCCTTCATAACTTCAGTATTTTCTCCATTTATCATGATATTGCTTTCTGGTCCATTTGTGAGGATTTTTATTTTCTTCCTGTTGAGGTCTAGTCCTTACTGAAGGCTGTAGTCTTTGATCTTTATCAGTAAGTGCTTCAGCTCCTTTTGACTTTCAGCAAGAAGGCTGTGTCACCTGCATATGGCAGGTTGTTAATGAGTCTTCCTCCAATACTGATGCCCTGCTCTTTATATAATCTGGCTTCTGGAATTACTTGCTCAGCATACAGATTGGGTAGCTTTTACATTACAATGGTCTCTGTATTCTGAGAACCATACACAAGAAATTTAGAGTTTCATTCTGAGAAGGTGCTATACTTTGAATCCTAAGATGTATAAGAAGTTGAAATCAAGGCCCTTTCCCAAATGTAGAGCAGATTGGATGGTGAGACCTTTTGAGAATTACCTAAAACTTTAGGAACATATATAGACTTGAGAGAAGGAATGAACCTACAAATTGTCCTTATTGAGCTTAATTTATCTACATTGTTGTTGTTGTTGTTAAGTGCCGTCGAGTCGTTTCCGACTCATAGCGACCCCATGCACAGCAGGACGAAACACTGCCCGATCCC